GAATGTTAGATGAAGTGAAGTTAGCTTTTATTCTTGAACTGTTAGGGGCCTCCTCGTTTATATGGTCGTGCAGCTTCATTGACAACAAATAATGCAAATGAAATAGCAATGTGGCATTTCCAAAAAGCAAAAAATACTGTAAATTGGCTGTTACGTAAATTTTGACATGTATTTTTAATCAACGTATCTTATAAAGGGTGATGTGATCTAGTTTAAAAGGAATATGACCTTTCTTTCATGACAGTAGCTGCTTAAATAGTATTTACTCATTGTGCCATTTTTACAGCCAAAATGTTGTGTAATTTTCAATAATGTTACCAACCCAGTGGGCTACGGTCCTTAATATAGGCCACTGCAAATAATTTGTCAAGGTAGGTGGAAATATAAGCCGAATTATAAATGTCACAATGCGAGTTTGAGCATTTTGTAACTATATGGGTAAGTTACATAGATTTTTGTTAAGCTGCTGCTCAGTGCACATTAAGAATATATTTCTTAGAGATAAATTAAATGGTTTTTGTTGCTGAGTAGTGCTAGTAAACATGCAAAACCCTTTTCGTTAGTCTAATAACATTCGAAGGCTCTCTAAGAGTTCAAGTTCTTATTTGTATACATATTATCTATACAGTATTACGTTTTCACTAAGCTGAATGAATACATCGAAGTAACCTTTCTGAGAAGTCTGCAGTATATTGCAGTTTTCCAGGTTAATGACTTACTAAATCATTCACATATTTCTACATAAATATTGTAAAAAGTTTTATCCAGTCGCATGAAAACTACTATTAACTAACCAAATATATGGACCCTGCTCAAATAGGCACCGTGCCCTTCTGCACTTGTATTATTTTGTACAGTATTGTATTACACAATCGAAGATTTTTCCAATGATTGAAAACATGTATGACAATAATCTCATGAACCTATGATGATCTGTCTAGAATAATATGATAAAATATAGGCAAAAGTGGTGAAAACAACAGACACTAACTCGTAAAACAGATATAAGATAGAAAGTATGTGTCAGATTCCTGATACCATTTATTTCAGTCAGGTCAGTGTGATGAAAATACAATTTATTGGGAATATACGTGTCTATTCAAAATTTTACTAAAAGAGTGTGGTATAACGTTCATCAAATATACCTACTATTATTTAGTCAATGATAGTTATCTAAATCACACAACTTAAGCGACTCCAATGTTGAAATATTATTTATTAACTCTCTATTTTGAAGGAAATTATCTCTCTATAGCTTTAAAAGCCTGGGCTTGTAATTAATTGCAATTAACACTTTGATTAGATAAAATATTGAGTATGACTACATCACAGACAGGTCTATATGCCATTTTTATGGTATAGCCTCTGGATCACTGATTTTAACAATAAAAGGTTTAAATTACCTGTATCCGTCAAGTGATCCTGGTTTGTAGTTGATTGACTACAGCCGTTTCATGTTGTAAAATACATCTTCAGGTCAAACGTATATACATTGATTTAATCCATGGAATGGTCGTCAAGGTTTAAAGTTCACAAAAATAACACATACACGTACACGAAAGAGTGAAAATTTAAAAACGTACGTTTTCATGTCCCTGGCCTTTTACTTCGTAGCTACTGGATTTGTAGTTTATTATTATGTGTTTTAATATTTTTTGGGATGGGGGCAACATGTTACACACATTTATTTGGTTTTAAATAGGTTCTAGGTATTTTTTTCGTATTTTTAAAGTCTCGAAATTCACGACCATGACGTGTCCCTAGGGTACATTTTCCAACTTTCACGCTGTTTTTAGACTAATTATTCATGCCGAAATGTATAAAGCCATATTTTTATGTCATCAATGGTTATTAAACTTACAAAAAAGGAGCATATTATAATTTTATTGTCATTGCAAACTGACTACCATGACATAATAAGTCTGTCCCTCGATTTGGCGTCACGACCATTTGGGAAAAATTTTCAACTTTGGAGCACGACAGTGGCAAGCCTGGCGTTGATGGAGTCAGTTGGTTTTAGAGACTAGTTCGGGGTGTACGTCAGGATTGTAGTGCCGGTCGTTTCGAGTTGAAAGAAGGAATTACAAGATTAATACAGGTAAGGTTGTGTTTTTTGTAATTTTGGTGTGTCCATGACCGTACATAGTCATTCGATGAAGTAGACATGGTGTTAATTTTTGTTTATAAGATATTTCAGTTGCTAGATTAACCTAGAAGTTCACTTTGTATCCTCGAACATGAGGTGCAGAGCTACCGCCAGAACAGAGCCAAATAACACGTAATTTCACGACCAAAGTTTCACGACCATCGTGGGTTTTTTCACGACCTATCCAGCCTTATGGATTATAGTGTGTTTGGTCGTGACAATAACTTTAATATAATTGTAATTTGAACAGTTTAGTTCAATTGAAACACATATTTTTATTATAACTAACAGTATAATTAAAGGATTGTTTAGAAAGATTTAGATTTTTTTAGAAAACTCACGACCGTACCGCTTGTCCCTGACCATCACGTTTATGATTTCTATCATAAAAATTTCAAAAATTAAAATATCGTCATATTTCAATGTTTTATACACAAAAGAAGCACGCCTCTATGCAAACATAAAGATTTTTCGGGTCTCAGGTAAGTTTTTTCGGAGTTATACAAACTTAAAAAGATTTTATTGGCTTTTTTTCAATTTTTTTGAGTTTTTTATTTTTTTCTAGAAAGACCAAATATATCAAAAGCTCAGTGACCTTTTTAATGTATAATGGTCATAAAAGTAAATTAGTTTATAGCAAAACATAGTTATAAAAATAATATTAACTATTTTTAATATTCATTTAAACGTCTGTTATGGTCGTGACAGGATTTTGTGTTTTTCCACTAAAGATGCTCTTTAAAAAAAAAACTACCAAAGATATTGCGTTACCATGGACATTTTATGAAACTTCAATTGTCAATGAAATCAAAAAAATAATAAAAGTTTTGAAAAAAGGGGAAACAAATTTGCAAAGTGTTTTTCCTGAAAACGTACGTTTTTAAATTTTCACTCGAAAACATTAAACATAAATTGGCCAACACAAAAATACGAAAAACGCGTGATAGGCATCGGACACGTACGGCGCCGCTAGAAGGTAGGTCATGACTGTCGTGTGCCGGAAGTGATAGCCCCCCACTATCAGCTGTTATCTATTGTGGTCTAAGATGCGTATGGCGGCATTGTAAACAATGTTCGACTCGAATGAGAGTTTTTCATTTAAGATGTTATCAGGTTGTTTTTTTGAAGCACGATAAATTTCAAATTCTTCTAATGTGTCTATGTATTTTCCTTTGTTACATAAATGGAGAACGTTGAGATTATTGTTTATATCTGTATAGTTGTGGTTGGAGTTAATCAAATGGTTGGAAAATGCCGACTTAGAGGAAATTTTAGGCAGGTGTTCCAGGATGTTTCCTCTAAGTCGGCATTTTCCAACCATTTGATTAACTCCAACCACAACTATACAGATATAAACAATAATCTCAACGTTCTCCATTTATGTAACAAAGGAAAATACATGGACACATTAGAAGAATTTGAAATTTATCGTGCTTCAAAAAAACAACCTGATAACATCTTAAATGAAAAACTCTCATTCGAGTCGAACATTGTTTACAATGCCGCCATACGCATCTTAGACCACAATAGATAACAGCTGATAGTGGGGGGCTATCACTTCCGGCACACGACAGTCATGACCTACCTTCTAGCGGCGCCGTACGTGTCCGATGCCTATCACGCGTTTTTCGTATTTTTGTGTTGGCCAATTTATGTTTAATGTTTTCGTGTACGTGTATGTGTTATTTTTGTGAACTTTAAACCTTGACGACCATTCCATGGATTAAATCAATGTATATACGTTTGACCTGAAGATGTGTTTTCACAACATGAAACGGCTGTAGTCAATCAACTACAAACCAGGATCACTTGACGGATACAGGTAATTTAAACCTTTTATTGTTAGGTCTATATGGATTCTGAAAAGGTATGTTCATTATTAAAAAGTAATGTTTATAAATAAAATTATAATACTTATTTTGTTAAATTGATCATCTATAAAGCTAATATATAATATACCCCTGCCGCAGCAAATCTGCAGAGTTAGTGAATTCACATTTGCCTGATTAGATTTTCACCTAAACATTTCCTTAAACATGCTAGATTATATCCACATTTAAAATATATAATATTAGGTTTACATGGATGTGTCCCTTTCAAAATGTTTACAAAATGTTCAAAGGACCAACATTTTATCTTCCACACATCCTTACCCCGTTGCAAAGCAGGGATATTAGTGGCAAGTGTCATATATATTATTGTATTCTCCAAACAGATACTTCCGTGTAAATAAAGTTGCTTTCTTATTTAAAAAAATAAAAAAATGAACAAATTTTTCACAGGGTAAATTGAGATATTATTGTAATTTTTTTAAGGCTGATACTTTGAGCATGCCTTTTTAAATTGTCATACTTTTACACCTTGTATGATTTTAGAATGAGGCCACCCTAACGACATAGTTACTCAGTTGTGTGAGTAATTATAGACTAAGCAGAAGGAGGCGACTCTAAAAACACAGAGTTTTTTAGTTGTATAATCTTTTATATACTAAGCAGAATGGAGGCAAATCTAAAGATACAGAGTTATTCAGTTGTGTAATCTGTTTATAGATTAAGTAGAAGGAGGCAACTCTAAAGACGCAGAGTTATTCAGCTATATGATCTGTTATAGATTAAGCAGAAGGAGGTAACTCTAAATACACAGAGTTATCCAGTTGTGTAATCTGTTATAGATTAAGCAGAAGGAGGCAACTCTAAAGACACAGAGTTATTCAGTTGAATGATCTGTTATAGATTAAGCAGAAGGAGGTAACTCTAAATACACAGAGTTACTGAGTTTTGTGATCGGTTATAGATTAAACATTAGGAGGCAACTCTAAATACACAGAGTTATTCAGATCTATGATCTGTTATAGATTAAGCAGAAGGAGGCAACTCTAAAGACACAGTTCTTTGCAGAACTAGAGGCCAAGGAACAACAGCTTCTGGAATTGGTGGAACAAAGAGACAAGTTGCAGCAGAGACTTAATGAGAGAACATACTCTTCTACAAGCACATGTCTTGCTCTCCATTCTAGTCAGGTACGTTACACTTTAAACATTTTAAATGTACAGAAATACATTTTTAATTTTTATGGTTTTGGTTTAGAATACTATGTTTTATTTTCAATATTTCATAAATTCATTACATAGATTCATAAAATTTTATTTAAATTAATAAGTTAATACACAATTAAATGAGCGGGTGCTTCCCATACCTGCCATGATAGCTTATGGGACGTCTGGCTCATAACAGCACTACTTGCAACATTGCCAATTCTACCAGGCCACGGCCTGGAGTGAAAGGTGATCATGCCGGAACGCAGCTGTTTCTTTCACTGCACTTATCCGCCATAGCATAGCCATACATAGGATTAATACTACTCTGTACGCAACGAGCTCTTCATTTGTTGTAGTTTCAAGTAAATCCGACAGGTAACAGCAATTACTGGTTTAATATTGTCGGTAGTGCCGTCAAGCTAATAATACCCCCGCCAACAAACCCCAGCAAACCTGCAAACTAAGCGAATTTCCATTTGCCTGATTGGATTTCACTAAAATGTCTACCATCTTAAAAATATAACATTTATTTCCTATTTAAATAGAATTATTTTAACAAGTACTTAGGTTTGCTGCATCAGGGAGTGTAAAACTGATGTTTTTTTTTTGTAAAATGTTAATAGTTAGTAAGAAATAAAAACATTTTCCAAATTTGATCAAAATATGTTCATAAACAAGCAAACTACAACAGTTTACTTGTTCTCCATAAGAATAACATGGGAATTTTAAAATTACAGATTTTTGGAATTTTCTCCTTAACCATTAGGCGCATAATAACGCTTCAATATACTAAATTATTTGTTTTTTTTAAGCTCTACAAAATAGTTTGAAAAGGAATTGCTAAATTTTAAGTTTTTAGGGTCAAAAATGGGAAAACCAATTTTTACCCCATAAAACCCCGTTCCCATAGTCCGATCATGCTGGTTCGCGAACTCGTTAGAATAAATGTAGGTATACATGTTTATACCAAATTTCAACAAAATCGGATCATTTTTGCTCAAGTTATCGTGCTAACGGAAACATATATATATTAAGAAAATTGTAGTGATTAGGGCTACTATTTTGATATACAAATGCATTAACTTATTAAAAACTAAGTCCGCTTTTTTGAAATTATTTTATTTAACAACCTAGGTTGTTAAATAAAATGAATTTCAAAAAAAGGGTAAAAGATTTTAATAATGCATTTGTATATAAATAAATAAATATATATATATATATATATATTTATATGAATTTGAACAGATGGTGTTTTTGGCATCTGGGGACCCCAAAACAAAAAAAAAAATCAATCCCGCGTCCAGGTCATACCATGAGTAGCCTACCACAGTAATAGCTTATTCCCTATATGGGAAATTTGCTAAAAAGATAAACAGTAACATACACACAGGACATATACGGTAGGAAAATAGTACAACTAATATTTTTTTACCTCAAGGCCAAAGCTAAAGGGAACAGAGGATGTTTGCTCCTGCTCGTGGACATTAGCGAGTATTTTGCCATCACAAATATGTTTACAATACAAAACATAATTTTACTTGCCTTGCCTTTTCAAATAAAGGTTAAGGCGAGGGAATTTGATGCAGAAGCAGGCATAATTAAAATAGATTTTCACTTTTTTGTTTGGTTTTACGTATCTTACTGATTTTAGCAAATTTCCCCTTTAGGGAATAAGCTACTACCGTAGTACACATTGTGAGACCTGGACCCGGGACAGATTTACTTTTTCGTTTTGAGGTCCCTAGAGGCCAAAAACACCATCCGTTCAAATTCATATATATATATATATATATATATGTGTCCGTTAGCGCGATAACTCGAGCAAAAATGATCCGATTTTGATGAAATTTAGTACAAACGTGTAAACCTACATTTATTTGAACGAGTTCGCGAACCAGCATGATCGGACTATGGGAACGGGGGTTTATGAGGGGTTTTATGGGGTAAAAATTGGTTTTTCCCATTTTTGATCCTAAAAACTTAAAATTTAGCAATTCCTTTTCAAACCATTTTGTAGCTTAAAAAAACAAATAATTTAGTATATTGAAGCGTTATTATGCGCCTAATGGAAGGAGAAAATTCCAAAAATCTGTAATTTTAAAATTCCCATGTTATTTTTATGGAGAATAAGTAAACTGTTGTAGTTTGCTTGTTTATGAAAATATTTTGATCAAATTTGGAAACTGTATTCATTTCATACTAAACTATTAACATTCTACAAAAATACACCTTTTTACCCTCCCTGTTGCAGCAAACCTAAGTACTCGTTAAACTAATTCTATTTAAATACCTAGGGAAATGTGATATTTTTAAGGAGGCATTTTAGTGTAAATCCAATCAGGCTAATAGAAATTTGCTTAGTCTGCAGGTTTGCTGCGGCGGGGGTATTTAGTATTATCGTGTTATTAAATTAAGTAAATGACACATAACTTTAAAAAGACTTGTCACTAAAACCTGAATGCCTACTACACAGTTCACAATGTCAATGAGCAGATTGACAGGTTATGTCAAATTACCACTCCTTCGTTCACACTTCCCCGCGATCCCTAAAAGATAGCGTCCACACAGCTGACCAACTATGACTTTTGTAATGACTTGAACAAAATTAATTACAAAAGTAATTAAATTTGTATTTCCTTTGTTTTTAACTTTATTCTTCACCATCTTTAAATGTTTAAACAATTAATTTTTTTTTTATAAAATCCTACAAATGTTTTATTGGTCTGTTTTTTTTTTATTATTTCAAAATTTTGGGGGGTTTCGCACCCCTGACCCCCCCCCCCATTGGATACAGCCTTGAATTTTTGTATAATGCTACAGTTCTGATTCTCTTTTAGCAAAGACTAGCTGTCACCCACGGGCTTCACCTCGTTTGACTTCATAAGTATTAATAAAACTATTGATTGGTTAAGTTAAGCTGAAATAAACAAAACAGAATGCAAACAAATAATCACACCTGATTTTAATTAGGTAATAAATTGAAAGAATAACATACAAATAAGTACAGCTAAAGGTATTTTTTAACATTATGTATTACGACCTTAAAGGGCAATTTATGAAATAATGGATAGTTTTGCGCAAGGTTTCTCGTCATGACGAACATTTCGTGGGTACTTTGGGATTTATATATGGATATGTCTATTCCTTCAAGCATAGTTTAAGCAGTTCAAAATTTATCTATATAAATAAAATTAGAGTTTTGTCTGTAGCCTACATTGCTCAGAATCATAAACTTTTAGGTTATTTTTACGTTTTATACATTAAAGAAGCCGAAAAAAGTCTCATCTAAATTTCCGTCCGTCTGTCTGTCTGTCTGTAACACTCAAGATGGCATTTACGCAATCTTCTCCAGGAAAACGAGAGTACCTATCAAGATCCAAGTCATTTTAATGTATTCACTGGATTGGCGAGAGTGTCTTTAGCCATTAAAATATGGCCTCACTACTTAGTAAATAAAATTACGGAGTTCAAAAATGCAGTTTTGTGCGATTTTTGTCAAGTTTTCGTCCAATTTTTATCACGTAATGATCTATCAAATAACGAACAGCTGTTCCGATCATGATTATTTTTTCTAGATGTCACTGATATGTTTACAAATGTTGTTTACAAATACCTCAACCATTTGCGATCACGTTTTGAAGGCAAATCCCATCCAAGTGAGATTAAAAACGTTTTTCTTACATAATGGATTTAATTAATCGCAAGTGGAATAATATAGTGTAACCGTAAATGAAATTGAATAACTAGGCATCATCCAGGTCAGGAACCAGAGATTCTTTGTGTATACAATTGTTCTTGAGTTTTGATAACCTGAAAGAATGCCTTGAATCAGTGTTGTATAGGGCTGGGAAACTTGAATTTATTAATGATCGTCGCCAATAGCTTACAAACAAGGTTTCCACTCATTGATGGCGCTTCGATGGCGGTTGTGTAAAGTTAAAATCACAACTGCAGTGGGTGATTGTAACAGAGGTTTACGGATGATGATAAACTCGCTTTTCCAATGACTGTGTCACTTTCTGTTCCTACTCTAGTTACCTACAGCTAGTTGTAAATAAAAAGCTGCCAAGATGAATTAAAACATGTGATCATTGTTATTTCCCAACCTTTCCCTAAAAAGTCTGGTACTTTCCTTTGAAAACTTGTGAGCTTCGATTCATATATAGCAATGGTTATATAATCAAATGTCTAAGGAACATGTCGGCCTTAGTCACTAACAAGACTACAAGATCGCGCCACTCATCCTACACTCATCCTTCACTCATATTTGGGTTAAAATACGCACATAGAGGCGTCCCCATCTTAAATAATTGATAATTGAATTGATAATTATCCTTATATATAATATGTGAAGGCGATTTCTACGAAACACTACTCCTCCGTTAATAATGGAAGGATTTTTACAAACGATGTGTCAAAATAAAGTATTTTTTGTGTAGACGCCCCCTTTCACCAATTCATGTAATAAAAATCCTCGGGCTTTGCCCCACAGGACATCAAAGTTGGATTTTCTTCCATAAGATTAACATGGGGGGAATTTAAATATTTAATTGGAAACTTTGTCACCACTAATTTGAGAGAACGGCTGGGCGTAGAAACTTGATAGAGGTGTCCAAAGAAAGGTCTTGGTCTGTACACGAGTTATCAAAATAAAAACTAAGCAAAATCCCTTAGGGCTCTGCCCCAGAAGCCTTTAAAGATCCCTTCACAGAGTTGTTTACATTTTGGCCATGTGAATAATACTTTTCAATAAAACAGCTGTTCATTTTTAAATCGTATTTCACATATTTGTTGGGAGTTACTGAATTGTACCAAATAAGTATTTGCAATGATATTTTCTGATTTTAAAATTAATTTTCCTCTTTATCATGTCATGTTTTGCAATATAACGTTCCATTACGAAATCAGTGGAAAATCCTTTTATCACAGCAATTCTTAAATTATTTCTTATTGAACTATCTTATATCTATTGTACGGGTTGGTGTCTGCCTTTTTAACCACTTTTGCCTACATTTTATCATATTATTCTACACATATCAAATATTTATGTAGAGATATCTGCTCTTATCGTGTCTAATAAAATCCAAACATAGAAACCTTGCCTAAAATGGTACCCATCTAGACAAATTATTTGCACCTGCCTATATTACGGACTTTGACGCACTGGGTTGGTAACATTATTGAAAAAGAACACTACATTTTGGCTGTAAAATATGGTACAAAGAGAAAATACGATTTAAGCAGCTACTGTCATGACAGAAAGTTCATATTCCTTTAAACTAGATCACATAATCCTTTATAAGATAGGTCTACGTTGATTACCAATATGTAAACGTCAATATATACGTAACAGCCAATTTACAGTATTTTTGCTTTTCCTAAATGTCCCATTGCTATGTCATTTGCATTATTTGTTGCCAATTAAGCAGCCAAGACCATATAAATGAGGAGGCCCCTAACAGTTCAAGAATAAAAGCCAACTTCACTTCAAGTATTCCACTACACCTAACATTCCGTAGAGAGATTATTTTAACAACTTTATGTTATTGATAAGGCTGAGACAACTAACTGACATCCCCCATGTCAAGAAATTCCAGCTTTAATAGTAACCCTACAAACAATTTCTCAAAACTATGCTATAGTTCGGCCTCTTAGAAAACGACCTGCGCACTAATGCTAAACCAATGCTGGAGGAGGTCGCTTTCTAAGCGGCCGAACTATAGAGGGTTATTCATTGGCACAGAAGTACGATATGAACTGATGCGACGTGACGAAGGAAAAATCAAACTTACACCGTAACGGATATACCTCCCTTTGATGTTAGAACGTATCTTCCCAACAGATTTTTTTTTTCAAATAAAATCATAGATTAATCTGCATTACACTGATGAAATCACGAAAGTGTTTAACTTCAAAAGATCCACTAATAGGATTTTAATACTATTTAAAGGTTTTTCCAAAGGAAGAAATACCAGATAACATACTATGACGTACGGTATGGAAAATATTTTATTCATTGAATGATCAACCATATTTATCATTTATCATTATTGTTTTTACACTTATTACCCTTTAAACAATGCTAAATGCTCAAAATATGTATATTTCACCCAATATATTGCAGTTTGATGAATTAACGTAAGCCTTGAAAGTAACCGTCGATTTCGACGGGTTTCACCTAGTTTCCTATAATCAATGACAAATCACAGAGTAAAGAAACTAACCTCATAGTTCTATAGAATATTTTTATATTCAACCAGCTGTTAGATATAACAAATTATATGGCACTAAAACAAACTAAAGATTTTAAAGACTGCTAAAAAAAAAAAAAATTAGAACATCTAGGATTTTACTTTGTATATTTAATAATCTCTTGTCCTCTTACCGGAAAAATGAACCTATCAATTATTATAACATTACACATAGTATAAATAAGTCGACCCTACGTATGACATTTCATTTTCATCCAAATGCCGAATTTGTGTTGAATACACTGAATGTTTACAGCTGTTTAGTTAAGCGAATTGTATTATACCAAAAGCTAGAGTAGAATGTTGAATACACTGAATGTTTACAGCTGTTTAGTTAAGCGAATTGTATTATACCAAAAGCTAGAGTAGAATGTTAGCATCGGCTGCTAGACTTTTTAAATTTAAAACTTAATTTCTAAAAAAACTTAATTTCTAAAAAACTTAAACTCTAAACTAAAATTAAGACTTCGACATTCCCTAGTTCTCAAAATTATCTTTCAACACAAAAATCATGAAAATCCGTCAAGTGGTCGATTCAGAATTGTGAAATAAAAAAACCCTGTCACGTTTTAATATATATGATATTACTAGCAGGAGAGTACCCATCCTTCGTACAGGGTTGGAATATAAGTATAAAATGCTTATTGCAGTTATACTAAAGCTTTGCGTTTGCAATAAGGGAGGACACAGTTTGATAAAATTTGCTTTTTTAAATTTACGGTATTCTATAGTATTACACATATACCATAGCCATAATGTTCTACCACTTCACCTAAACAATAGGGAAAAATAAATTATCAACAATTTGCAAAATATCACAAATTATTCATGAAATGAAAAACATAAACATAACTGTAAACAATCCTACTTTGACAGTTCTCATTGCGAATCAGATTTTTTTGTTGCTGCTTAGTTCAAATTAGCTGTTTTCATAAATGCAAAAAAAATATAGTGCTGCACCCTGTTGGTAAATCTTATAACTTTTTAATGCTTTTCCATATCATAGAACCAACTTTTTTAGTTGAAACAGCTGACTAAATTCTTTAATTCCCTTTAAATATGAATACTCATAAGGTTAACATGGGGAATTACAGAATACAGAGCCACTGGGGTGGAGCCCGAAAGGATTTTTGAGATAAGAATATGCCTATATGTTAATCGGGAATGTAAGCTATCTTCATGCCAAATTTCAGCCCAATCCGTCCATTGGTTTATGCGTGATTGAACTTCAAACACACAAACAAACAAACACACAAACTTTCACATTTATAATATTAGTAAGATTTATAGAGGTATGTATTTGCATGGTATTTCGATACTATTTAACTGTCATTACTTTGGAGACAACACCACAACCTAGGTGTGTATTTTAAACTGAATTTGAATATAAGCTGAGTCTAGAATTGAGTGAGGTAAAAAATATCAGGGGTTTCTTAAGGTATGACAAAAAAAAATCTCAATGATTAATGACTGTGCTTGGCCCAGTTTTGAACCATCCAAAAGCTACTCTGACACTTTCAGGATCGTGCACTAGAATAATTTCACCTACCAAACTACATGGTTACAGTATATACTGACATACTGATGTCATACATCATATTATATTATTATATTATCTAGCCATATTATATATACATATAACACCACCACCTAGGTGTGTATTTTAAACTGAATTTGAATATAAGCTGAGTTTAGAATTGAGTTAGGTAAAAAATATCAGGGGTTTCTTAAGGTATGACAAAAAAATCTCAATGATTAAGGAAAGCTTGGCCCAGTTTTGAACCATCCAAAAGCTACTCTGACACTTTCAGGATCGTGCACTAGAATAATTCACCTACCAAACTACATGGTTACAGTATACTGACATACTGAACTGATGTTTAAATAACAAACACAACATATTTTGAGCTGTGGAACGCATTGACAGTTATATGCAGGAGATACAACCAATGTCATATAAGATATTAAACAAGACAAATAACGGCAATACCACCTTATACTTCCTTGTCTGTTAAAAGTTTAGTTTTTGGTTAGTAATATTAGATGTACAATACATTTTATGTACATGCTGTTTACCTAGGACGAGAGGAGTCAAAGTTCTCAACATACAGATGTGGCTGTAGAACAAAGCTATAGAAGAGCTGAACTGAGAGCTGAGCAAAGCTATGTGGACGGCTTCAGACATGCTCAACACCTGGCAGCCATAGAGGAGGAAGGTATTGAATACACATGTAATGGGGGCCTATCTCATTGGTAAACCACACCAGGTTGCTTAGCTTTTTGCAAACTTTTAAATAGGTAGTGAGGAAATCAACCAAAGTGGAAGGTGATATTCTGAAGGAGAATAACATTTCCTACGAATTACTAATATGCATTTACGAAAATACTCAATAAAGGCAGCCAAAAGCTCAATACTTTCCTAGGACTCTGCCCTGACAGCTTATTAAGTCCAATGGTGTTCTTTGAAGTAGGCTAACCATGAAAAGCCACTCGAAATGCCACCTAACCCGGTACGGCAATCAATATAGTCTTATTAATACTGTACTTATGAATTCAAACCACGAGTTTCAATTTATTAATCCTATATTCTTGTAAGAGCAATGTTTGCTTGCATGTATATTTACCTGCTTGCTTGCACAAAGATCTCGAAAGCTGCTTCGATGTCAAAAGTTTTAAATAAGTTATTATTGGCTTAAAACGCGTGTTTGACAACATCCACTACCACGTCCATGTCACTGGCCCGGCCATTACGGAATTAGTACATAAGAATTATGCTAATATTTAGTACCTATTTCGTACTATTTAGTACCAACAAACAAAAAATTAGTACCCCACTCGGTACCGGATAACTAATTAATTTAGGATTCCGGGCCAGTGACATGCTGGCCCGGCCATTTTCGAATTTGATCCTAATATGTATACCATCATTTAGTACCTATTTCGTACTATTTTGTACCTCCATTAATATAATTTGTACCTCAAAGAAAACCAAGCTACGGGCCCGTTAACTGTACAGGTCAATGACCCCTCAGCCCGGCCATATCGGAACCTATGGTTATAAGCTATACTACTATTTAGTACTTATTTTGTACTATTTTGTACCTCCATTAATATAATTTGTACTTCAAAGAAAACCAAGCTACGGGCCCGTGAACTGTACAGTTCAACGACCCCTCAATACTACTATTTAGTACTTATTTTGTACTATTTTGTACCTCCATTAATATACAGATCCATGGCCCCTCAGCCCGGCCATATCGTAACCTATGGTTATAAGCTATACTACTATTTAGTACTTATTTTGTACTATTTTGTACCTCCATTAATATACAGATCCATGGCCCCTCAGCCCGGCCATGTCGTAACCTGTGGTTATAAGCTATGCTTATAAAAAAAAAGGAGTTGAATTTTATCACATTACAAGGAATAATGTTTTATTTGTTGTGAAGAGAGAAAAACAGTCAGCGAAAAATAATAGAAAAAAATGAAATAAAATAATTACTTAGGAAAAATATTCAATTTTAATCTACAGTATTTGGAAAATATTAACAAGTTACAGCTGGCTCCAGAGTCGGGCATGCGCAGAAGAGTCAGCGAGTTGGCAATCGCGTTAGCGGGAGAACCCGCGCATGCGCATGAGGCACTCGCGCATGCGCCCGAGGCTCGAGTGGCGAGCGCCGAACGAGAGCAACCACGACCGTCAGTCTACCTCCGACCCTCCGACACCGACACACGAGCTGACTGAATATTGAGTTGTTAGAAGTAGTAGTACGAGTTAGTAGAGTGAGTAATACAAATATAAGTATTATAACGGATAGTAGGGTGCATCAAACATCAATTACGACTAAGGTACGCTCTATCTACCATTTTCCGGCTTTTAGCCATTTAGTAGCTTGTTTTCTACTGTATTATAAATCCATACTAAATTTGCAAATTATTCTTACTACTCCTATACAAATTCTAAAATCACAATAGTTTTCCTATTCAATCATATAATTTGAATTTCACTGTCAATTAAACCCTACAGTAGAACGCTTACTAGCGCAGTTATCTACATTCCTATCTGGTAATCAGTCTTTGAACCATAGTATCCTACAGCAGATTATCTCCTTTCATTTATTTTATTTCGACTCAGTTATCATTCATTTCAGTAAAATACCACATAAATAGTTGCCTGGAGCTTGAAATAATTTCATAACGTAGTAGCCTAATATAATAGCTTGCATTACTAATAGCCTATCCTCCAACTATATCAATTGCTTTGCATTATTTTCCTGCTTGATTTGGTGTGCATTGTTGTGTAGATTTGATTTGGGCCAAGTGTATGTACACATTCTCCTAATTGTTTACCCTACCCTTACACAAATCTCCATCCTGCAGACGACCGTCCGATATTATTACCGATTTTCTCCCGCAGACGTCCGTCTGGATTCCATAGTAAACCTAAATAGTGAGCAAAGGCGGCTAATTGGCATTGAATCATCCAAACTTGTTTTAGGCTAAAGGAAATTAATATTTCGATTATTTCAAGCTGTAATCTGGTTTTGTAAGCAGGGGAACAGACACGCGACTCGTGATTACCCCATACCATACCATTACAAACCCACTATTACCGATTATCCATCCAACGACCGTTGGGAAGTAATTTTATCCTTGCCGACGACACTCGGGATAATCCTTACTTCCGATCCAACGACCGTTGGGAACGATCTAACCTTTAACGACCCACTCGACTTATCCATCCAACGACCGTTGGGAAGTACCCTTTATCCCTACCGATTACAATCGGGATAACTTACTTCCGATCCAACGACCGTTGGGAACGATCTTACCTTTAACGACCCACTTGACTTATCCATCCAACGACCGTTGGGAAGTACCCTTTATCCCTACCGATTACAATCGGGATAACTTACTTCCGATCCAACGACCGTTGGGAACGATCTTACCTTTACCGACCCACTTGACTTATCCATCCAACGACCGTTGGGAAGTACCCTTTATCCCTACCGACTACACTTGGGATAACTTTACTTCCGATCCAACGACCGTTGGGAACGATCTTACCTTTACAGACCCACTCGACTTATCCATCCAACGACCGTTGGGAAGTACCCTTTATCCCTACCGATTACACTCGGGATAACCTTACTTCCGATCCAACGACCGTTGGGAACGATCCTATAGTTAACGACCCACTCGATTTATCCATCCAACGACCGTTGGGAAGTAACCTTTATCCCTGCCGACTACATTCGGGATAACCTTACTTCCGATCCAACGACCGTTGGGACCAATCCTACCTTTAACGACCCACTCGATTTATCCATCCAATGACCGTTGGGAAGTAACCTTTATCCCTGCCGACTACATTCGGGATAACCTTACTTCCGATCCAACGACCGTTGGGACCGATCCTACCTTTAACGACCCACTTGATTTATCCATCCAACGACCGTTGGGAAGTAACCTTTATCCCTGCCGACTACATTCGGGATAACCTTACTTCCGATCCAACGACCGTTGGGACCGATCCTACCTTTAACGACCCACTCGATTATCCATCCAACGACCGTTGGGAAGTAACCTATATCCCTGCCGACTACACTCGGGATAACTTTACTTCCGATCCAACGACCGTTGGGAAATAACGTCATTTCTACGACCTATTAATCAGTATTAACCGGACTTTAAAAATCCCAACCTATTCCACGATCCGGTTGAAAGTTAGTTTACCACCTTGCTAATCTTATTGTTGGTTATGTGGGCTGTGATGAGACCGAAAACGTAAACTGTTGGACATCGTCCTAAACGTCACGGGTCTGAGCCTTAACCGACAAATAAAACCGGACCTTGGCTTGCTGAGCTTTTTGGACAAATTGTAAGTGTAAACGGCTTTACCAGGTGACAAGAACGTTGTCGACCAGATAAGCGTTACACTACTATTTAGTACCTATTTCGAACCACCATTAAAATAAATTTTACCTCAAAGATAACCAAGCTATTGGCACGCACACTGTACAGGCCAATGTCCCCTCAGCCCGTCCATGTCTCAATCTGTAGTTATGAGGAATGCCTTTATTTAACACCAGCTATTAAAATATATCAAACTAACAAACAATTTTAAACTAGACTAACAGGAAAAGTCTAATATTTTAAAATTTGGCTTCACTTTAGTTTTCGTTCTACACTCATTCGAATGAACACATCGATATAGGATATAGATTATTTGATACTGTATATCGATTACTTTATTCGGTTACGTTAACCTATCCAACCAAACTTGATAAATTGAATGAAATAATCGATATATCGATCGATATATGGTGATTCGAATGAGTGTGGGACGTCAACAGCCTGTTTTTTAAGTGCAGCCTAAAAAAATTATCTTTCATTTTCTGTGTATATTCTCAAATTAAAGTTTACCTTTTATGGAGTTAGAGAATTAGGATTACGAATCATGAAAATAGTGTATTAATAACAATCTTATGTTGTCTATTTACATTTTGTCCCAAAACAATTCTGAATGAACTTTTAATATAAGTCATTTTAAGTACCAAGTGAAACATTTGATTAAAGTCAAAACGAGTTTTGTAAGGTTAATCACACTACACTTTCATCAGTTTACATATTGAAATGTTACTATTATTACTTTGAGTTATTGTCAGTATGCATAACGCCTTTCTGTACATTTTATGTCAATCGAACAAAGATTTTTTAGCTGTGATAATTTAAATTGAGTAAACTAAAACTTGACACGGCACTTGTTTACTAGGAGAGACAAAACTCTTCGAGTCCTTGGTGTCATCGTAGAGTTCCCATGTGTCGTTAGATCTTCTAGCGTATGCCACGTAATGTCCAACACTTGTAAAAGATGTTGTTCTTCCGCAGAACCCCAAGAATCCTCTTAATATATATTCAACTTCTTGAACTACTACGGTAGCTGGTAGTTCACATGGTTTCGTCTAAAACAACGAATATTGTGAATTATATAAGACACAATAAAATACCTACATTATATAACACATGTCGTGTGAATGAATCATGTTCGTACAAAACAAAACTCCCAGCTCTAGATGTCCTTTAAAAATAATTGAATGTCCAATATAATGCATTGCAAGCATTTAAAAACTTACGAAATATTTCTCTTACACCTTATAAAATGTATTGTGGTTATTACATTGTGGTTTCCTGTTAGTCTAGTTTAAAATTGTTT